TAACAAACCGTGATAGTTACAATCAGGATCCTAACAAATTAATGCTACTCTAATACTCCCCCTCAAGGTGGAGCATGGAGGGAGGAGATGCCCAACTTGGAAGTCAAAAAATCGAATTGTTTGGATCCAAGTGCTTTGGTCATAATGTCTGCGGGTTGAGAACTAGTGGGGATATGTTGAGTAGAAATAGTCTTGCTGAGAAGATAGTCCCGAACAAAATGGCAATCTAACTCGATATGCTTGGTACGCTCATGGAACACTGGATTAGAAGCAATATGAATAGCAGACTGACTGTCACAAAACAGTTGCATAGGGGCTGCATGAGGAATATCAAGAGAGCTGAGAAAAGACTTTAACCAAATAAGCTCAGAAGTCGCAGCTGCCATGGCACGGTATTCAGCTTCAGCAGAGGAGCGGGATATTGTGTTTTGCTTCTTGGTTTTCCAAGAAATAGGAGAATGTCCAAGAGTAACAAAATAACCAGTGACTGATTTTCGAGTCAAGGGACAACTAGCCCAATCCGAATCACAATAGGCACGAAGAAGAAGATCACTGTCAGATCGAAGAAGGAGTCCTTGGCCAGGATTGGACTTAATGTACCGAAGAACACGAATAGCCGCATCGTAATGTATCTGCATAGGATGCTGCAAAAACTGAGAAAGTGTGTGAACTGCATAACTAAGTTCTGGTCGTGTAATCGTGAGATATACAAGACGGCCAACAATACGTCTATAACGTTTAGGATCATCAAACGGAGGTCCTTCAGCAAGAGCAAGCTTGTGATTGGGATCCATAGGATAAGCAACCGGTTTACAACTTTGAAGTCCACATTCCTTAAGAATATCCAAAGCAAATTTGCGTTGAGTAAGAAACAAACCGGTCTTGCTTCGAGCAAATTCAATGCCAAGAAAATACTTGAGGGGACCAAGATCTTTGATTTTAAACCAGGTTTGTAAATGAGCTTTGACACGGTCACAGAGAGAAGGATCACTACCTGCCAACAAAATATCATCTACATAGACAAGTATAGCAACATAATGGGAACCAGTCGAGTAAGTGAACAACGTATAATCAGCACGAGACTGAACAAAGCCGAAACTGAGGAGAGAACTACGAAGCTTAGCAAACCAATTTCGTGGGGATTGCTTGAGACCATAAAGTGAACGTTGAAGCTTACAGGCGTGACCAGACTTGGTTTGGGAGAAACCGGGAGGAAAACGCATAAAGACTTCTTCATCCAAATCGCCATGGAGAAAGGCATTTTGAACATCCAGCTGAAAAATGCTCCATTTTCGAGCTACAGCTACAGATAAAAATGTACGCACACTTGTCATTTTAGCCACCGGTGCAAAAGTCTCAGTGTAATCTTCTCCTTCGATCTGATTGTTCCCAGCAATAACCAGACGCGCTTTATAGCGTTCAATGGTTCCATCAGAATTGTACTTGATGCGGTACACCCACTTACATGGAATAGCTTTCTTACCAGAAGGGAGAGGTTGAATTTGCCAAGTATGATTGGCTTCCAATGCATCAATTTCGGCTTGCATGGCTTTCTGCCAATGAGGATATTGCATAGCCTCTTTAAATGATTTGGGTTCCAGGTTACTATCCACGGCGGCAAGAAAAATCTGATGGTGCGAAGAAAATAATGCATTAGAAACATAATGATCAATGGAATATTGAATACCTGAGTCGATTGGAGAAGTGGAGAGACGAGGAAAGGGTGTAGTCATTGTGTTGCATACATAATCCTTTAAATGAGATGGGGGACGTCTGGCACGCTGTTCACGAATATCTGCCACAGATGCAGTGTTGGGTTCTGTCAACGGAACCGGTGAACCAGGGACATCCGTGGATGAAGTAATAGAACCCGGAACTGGGGAGGACGAACTCCCCCTGTCATCAAGCTCCGCTGTGGGAGTATCAATAGCAGTAACAGGTGCCACATCATAATCGGTGAAGACAGCTTGTGGTGACGGTACATGGACAGAAGGTGCAGATGAAGTTGCAGCCAATGGAAAAATAGTTTCATGAAATAAAACATCACGAGAAACAAATATTTCATGAGTGGAGATATCCATGACCTTCCATCCTTTTTTGTTGAAAGGGTAGCCAACAAACACACACTTACGGGAGCGAGGAGCGAACTTGTCATGTGGTTTGGGTAAAACAGTAGTGTAACATAAACTCCCAAAGACCCGTAAGTGATCATACTTTGGTGGAGTGCCATGCAAAACTTCATAGGGACACTGACCACCAAGGAGTGGAGTCGGTGTCCTGTTGATGAGGTGAGCAGCGGTCAAGATGCATTCTCCCCAAAGAGATATAGGTAAGTGACCATCAAAACGCAAAGCACGAGCCACGTTGAGGATGTGACGATGACGACGTTCAACGCGTCCATTTTGCTGTGGGGTGTAAGTGCATGATAATTGATGATGAATACCGTAGGATGAGAGAGCCTCTTGGACTACAGATGACAAAAATTCAATCCCATTATCACTCTGAATTCGCTTAACAGATGCATCATATTGGGTGCGAACCAAGTGGAGAAACCGAAGTAAACATGTGGAAGTTTCAGTTTTATTGCGCATCAAAAAAATCCAAACATGTCTACTAAAATCATCGACTACAGTTAAAAAATAGCGGGCACCAGTTGTAGATGCCATATGATATGGCCCCCATATATCACAGTGAAGTAAATCAAAAGGATGTAAACAACGTTTATTATTAATAGGAAAAGGACTTCGTGGTTGTTTGGCTTTACAACAAACGTCACAAGGAGCCAAATTATTTGCATTGGAAATAAAAGGTAACAAAGATAAATAACGGGAAGATGGATGTCCTAGACGACGATGCCATAGTGCTGCAGAATCTGACGTACTGGCAACATGAGCAGAAGCTGATGATGCACACAATATATACACCCCTTCTCGTTCAACACCCGTTCCAATCGTCCTCTTCTGCTTTAGGTCCTGTATCAAACAAACAGAATTAACAAACAATGCCAAGCAAGACTGGCGCAGAAGCTGAGATACAGAAATCAAATTACAAGCCAACGAAGGGACATAAAGAACATTGGAGAGATGAAGAGAAGAGCCCAAAGTAATGCTGCCACATTGCGTAGCAATATCATGAACTCCATTCGGCAGTCCCACAGAACAAGGAGAAATAGAATGCACATTGGATAGATAGGAGAGTGTGTCCGTCATGTGTTGGGATGCACCACTGTCGATGATCCAAGATGGGTGTAAAATCTTACCCGTAAGTTTATCAACTGGAGGGGCAGAAGAGACAGCCAAGGACATGAGATGTTGTAGAACTTCTGGTGTAAAATCTGCCATGGAGATGGATGCTGATGACGGCGCAGAAGGAACCGAAGGCAGAGAAGTATGAGCAGCCCGAGCAGATAGTGGGTGAGATCGTGCAGTGGATGAACGACCACGACCACGGCTTCGTCCAGGAGGAGGGCTGCGTCCAGGAGTGGGGCGATCTGGGTAACCAATCAGCTGATAACATCTTGTTATGTCATGATAAGGTTTGCCACAGTAAGTGCATGTGACTTTAGGTTTGGAAGAATCTCCTAGTTCTTTGGAGACAGTACCAGGCGTTGCATATCCCATTGCATCAGAAGGAGAATCCTGAGATCGGACCAATGCCTTGTGCGTTTCCTCTTGAGCTACCATAGAGAACACCCGATTGATACTTGGGAGTGGAGTGGTATTGAGGATTTGGGTAATAAGACTACCATAAGTAGTGTGATCCAGACCCATAAGGAACTGATAAATACGATTGTTGTCATCCTCAGTAGTAACAGATTTAGAATCCTCAGGATTGTCGGATGGGTGCAGGTAAAAGGGTGACTTAGAATCAGAAACCTTGAAGGTTTTAGGTGCGGAAGTCATGATGAAAAAAAAAATGAAGGCTTGTTGATCGTCAAGCTCTTGATACCATAACAGAAGTTGCTGTCATTCGCAGCTGAATAATATATAAAATTGGGTCTATTATATAGACCAAGATTTACAATTGGTTACATCAGGAAATCAGCTAAACTTAAGGAACAGAAAGCATAAATCAAGCTAATCTATTTACATCAGGAAATCAGCTAAATTTAAGGAACAGAAAGCATAAATCAAGCTAATCTATTTACATCAGGAAATCAGCTAAAACTAAGGAACAGAAAGCATAAATCAAGCTAATCTATTTTAATATACAAGGTAACAAACCGTGATAGTTACAATCAGGATCCTAACAAATTAATGCTACTCTAATATTAAAAACCATATGTTAGATTTGTTTGTGTATACTTAGTTTAACTTAATTATATTTATGAGATTCTTGTCTAAAAAGTTCCAGTTACATAATTTGAACGTGACCTTAAGTAATAGTATGATCTCTCACTAACTAAGAGGAATTCTTGCTATATGAGACTACTACGTCATAAGATTTACAAAACCCATCATGCCAATCGGTGTTATCTCAGCCAGTTCAATAACTAGTACAGACAACTTCACAGAATGTTAACATATGGCATATAGAAAAGGAGTGCACGTGCTTAAGTAATAAAAGGGAAGCATGTGAGAAGCTAGCTACCCCAAGTTGCTCCATCCTCATCAGAATGAGACAAATCAAAATGGGAATCAATGAGAGACGTGGGCTTGGCGAATGATCCGGCGATCCTTATGGTATTTTGATCTGTTTTTATCTTTTCTCTTTTGCCAGCTAACAATCCCAACATGAAGATGAATTATTCTAACATTTTGGAAGTTAGTAAACACACATCAATATTTTAGAATTAGATTTTGATTCCTCGTTTCCCCATAGTTAAGATTTTAGTTAAGTACTGTTACTCCAATCTCAATCAATATAAAATGATACTTGGTTTGAAAGCTTGAACATCATTTAAATGGCCTTCTTCACTAGTTGTCATGCTCATTGTTGACCTGCCTGAACAACAAACCTTAATCAGTTGCTTTTGCATTTGGGTTTCCTATATCTCTTTGATGGCATTGGCCAATGACAGAATTCCACGTGGCTCAAGCATGAGCAGCAAGTTTCAAACTTGTGTTTTCGATGAGACTGCTAGGGAGATTACTTCTCTGACGTTTCATGGGGTCAACGAGTACCAAAAATCTGTGGTTGAAGAGGAAGATTTCTCACAGAGCACTAACGGGCTAAGCAATGGTTCAGCTTCAGCCATAATCCATTCTCCTCCTCCATGTGGCAGTGCAAACGGGTATGTTTATGAGACCAGAAATTATGAACTTGAAGAAGCAGAAACTCTGATTAACTTCAAAGCCAATGAGTATAGCCACCTCATGCAACGTAGCGAATCTTTGCTTGACTTTCAGCAGAGCTGGCTGGTCTCCAACGAGAAAAATTTGCACGAAGGTCATAACCAATGGAATCATATTAGTCCTAGAAGCACCACAGACCTGTGCCTGGTGCAGGGTGGCTATAGCTCAATATTCAATAGTGCAAAAGAGAAGCAACGTGGTGAAAGTTCATGTGGGTGGTTATATTCTGAACCAACTGTCCCTGGTGATAGTATCCAAGATTTAGCAACACAAGAATCGATCTTGAGGAAGCGCTCTTCTAAGGTATTGCTTCCTCAATTATACTAAAACTTCTCTCTTTGTATGTTTAGAACTAGTCCTTAGAGAACTCTATGAAATTAGAATGGAAAATTGAGGTCAAATTTTTGTTTACAGGAAAAGAACATGCAAGCTGGCAATGCCAAGAAGACATGCACAACTGCAAGTAAAGCAGAAAAACCTAAGTCAAACCCAACCAAGGATCCTCAAAGTGTTGCTGCCAAGGTTTGCTTCAAACCTAAGTTAAATTGTGTTTGATATGTACAAAGTTTTGATTGCAAATTAAGAAAACTTAAAATATGAGATTCAATGTTGATAGAATGTTTGTTATCGATCACAGAATAGAAGAGAGAGAATAAGTGAGCGGCTTAAGATTCTACAAGAACTGGTACCCAACGGCTCCAAGGTGGATTTTTTTTTTTAACTAGTCCCGAAAAGTTGCTTTCTTTGCTCTTCCTTTTGTAGCAGTAACTAGGAAAATGATCATGCGTTGCAGAATTCAACTGCTTGATCAACCCGACCAAACTCTGCAAATTTTTACTTATTAGAATTATGATTTAATTCTGATGATGAATTTTGCAGGTTGATTTGGTTACCATGTTGGAAAAAGCGATTAATTATGTGAAGTTTCTTCAGTTGCAAGTGAAGGTGGGACTTGAACAAACTACACTAATTTTATTAATCTTGTGATATGTAGCTTTTTTTTTTCCCTGTATAATTATTTGTGTGTGTTCAAATCGATCTCCAGGTCCCTCAAATTAAGCTCATGGCTTTGAATTGAAACCTCATTTGTTAAATCTTTGTTCTCTACTTGTTTATGGTGCAGGTGTTGGCAGCTGACGAATTTTGGCCTGTCCAAGGTGGAAAAGCTCCTGACATTTCTCAAGTAAGACAAGCCATTGATGCCATTCTTTCTTCCCAAAGATGAATTGAAGATCATTGATCCAAGAAATAAATGTCATCATAATTCAAGCACAACTTTGCAGAACATGAAAAGCCTTATTCTGGAAGTTGGCGATTCTGAAGGGCATTTTAGTATTTCAGAATGCATGACCTTTTCTAATTTGTTAACCTCTAAATAAAGATCTAGCAGCAAATTTGAATTTCTTGTGTTTCTGGCTGTTTATGCGTATGCTGGGGGCCTGGGGCTGCAACCTCGTCCCAGGATTTCATTCACAAAGTATCTACGTGTCTGCATTGTACTTTTCTCCGTACTAGTGGTGATGGAAATGTTCTAATAGAGTCAGGATCATTTTACACCAGTGTAAGTTACACTCTCAATTTTATCCGTTGATTCTATTTTTATCTAACGGCTCAAATTTTTTAGTAATGTGAGTCATTGGATATAAGTGGATCAATGGTCAAGATTGAGTGTAAGACTTCTAACTCTTATACCGGTGTAAGAATATCCTGCCCCGTTCTAATATAAGTATTTGACTCATCCGTTAACAATAATATATACTATAGGAATAAATTATTATGTCTACTCCTTAATCTGTCTATCTTATCTCAATGGTGGAGATTTACAAAATAAAATAAACTTTTTTATCCCTTTCTCTTCCCTCTGCCTCTCATTCTTTCTCTCTCCTCCCCTGCTTCAAATCTTGTTGAGCAGATTCTCCCTCATTAATTAATCTTCACGACAACCATCAGATATGGGTGGTGATGGTGGTGGTGGGGGTTGCTTGTGCTCGGAATCTGGGTTTTCGGCTGCATAAAACCTTCTGGAATGTTTGTTGTAGGAACCATAAAATTTCAAGGATTTCTGGATAGATTGCATCAAGCTTAGGAGAAATATATGTTTTTAGATTACAATTCAAATTAAAATAGGAGTGGGGGAGTTAGTATTTAGTGATCAGAAAATTATTTTTTTAAAAAAAAATAATGGCTTTTTGTGTTTTAAAAATTTGAGATGGTAAGGGTCTTTCTCGGATAATTTGATGATTCATGGGTTTGAGATTTAGCTGTCTTTTGGTGAACTTTATCTCCAAACGCTCCCTTTCATGGAGGAGAGAAAAAGGATGGGAGGCACATGAGAGATAAAAGAATAAAATAATTTATTTTATTTTGTAAATATTCACCATTAGATAAGATTGTAATCTAACAATATTAAGAAGAGTAGGCAAAGTAGGCAAAGTAGGCAGATTAAGGAGTAAGCAGAATAACATATCCCTATAATATATGAGTTTCTGATAAAAATAGCAAAAAATAATAGCTATAAATTATGGAAATGATTATATTCATAAATTTTTTACTTACAAACTACGTTATATGTTCTCGGAAGTATACTAGATTACACTATATACTTTCGGGAGTACATAATATAATTTGTAAAAATTTGTAAATAGATTTTTCTCCCTAAATCATATATTGTTCTTTGACTTTACTCTCAACTGAATGTCAGAGTGAGCATGTTACCAATGAAGTAGTCATAGTAGATAAAACATCTTGGAGGTCACGGTAAGTTGGCAATTGGCCAATTGAATATAAATACAAAAATCCTATCAGTAAGACTAATAAAATTTATCATTGTTATGATTAATATTATAATTATTTGAATGATTAATGCATCAGCATCAATGACTCTTTACCCCATCTAATAGCTTGAGACCAGGAGGTTTCGCGCTGGTTAGCTATGATGCACGGACACGGGACACCACACGACACGTCGACACATTAATTCTAAAAAATGTCATATTTCGACACGTTGGGACACGTTTTGATATATTATATATTTAATACATATAAGAGTCCTTAATAAGTCATATAACCAATCAAATATTTAAATTTTATAACATAAATATAAATATAAATAATTTTTCGTACTTTGTTAACTTTTCATGTCAAAATTCATAACAGAAAAAAATTAATTTATAAATTATTTCTTTTATATTTAGTTAACAAAATAAAATTAAGATTTAAAAAAAAAAAAAGAGTGTCCGAGCGTTGACAGCGTGTCGAAAAAAGTTGACTGCGTGTCGAAAAAATGTGTTCGAGCGTGTCAGAGCGTTGACCGCGTGTCGGACACGTGTCCGAGCATGTCGGACGCGTGTCCGAGCATGTGGGACATGTGTCCGACACTCAAATTTTTCACAAAATCGCGTATCCGTGCTTTGGAGCTGGTTAGTTTGAACTTTGAAGGTGTTCAGATTCAAGCAGCATATAATGATCCCCATCGGGTAAATCATAATTAGAGATTTAATTTAAGGATTTAAATGTAATAATTAGATTCAAAACGTAATTTCGAGTATTTTGACTATAATCATGACTAGGTCAAGAACAGTGTCTTCTGCCGGGTACTCTGCATTGTGTGTAGCAACCGGTAGAGCGTGCAATGAGCAAAATGAGATTAGAGACCTAATTTGAATATTCTGATGCCAAATATGAGTTCATAACGAAAAATTGTATAGTTTGACACTTTTCATGAAAATCTCGTGAATAGTGTTTTCTGCCGGGTATTTTGTACCGCTGCTTAAGCAACCGATAGAGTCCAAAATTAAATAATTGATGAAATAAGAATACGAAAGTCCAATATATGTCAAACAAGTCATAATAAACACAAGAATGATAAGTTTATAAGTTTTAAGTTTTCGTATGTAAACGATGCACAGTGCATTTCGTCAAAAATGGTGCAGAAACTCTACTGTGAATTATTAATATTGTTCCTTAGAGAATAAAAATTAATGTAAATGAGTTCAGAAAAATAAAAATATGTTCGTAGCTTTAAGTTAATGCCGGGTCAATTTAAGTGAAATTAAGTGAAAGAAAAACAACCGTTAAAGGACCACATGTTATTATAAACTTAAGTTCCTTACAAATGTAACTATTCACATCAGTTTCTTCTTCTTCTCTCTCTCCTGGCCGAGTTTCTCCATGGAAGAAGCTTAAGGGTTTCATTTCTTTCTCCTTTGATATCTCCATCCACAATCAACCAAATCCATAAATGCATTACACAAAATTGATAGTAAATCACCCAAGGAATCTATTCCACCACTTTGTTTGGGCTGAAATTGCTTGTGGAAAGAGTTTTTCCTTCTCTACAACTCGTGGTACTATTCATCCAAGTGTGAAAGTGTGGATTTTGAGTGAGCCAAGCTTGGGTTTTGTTCCTTGGATCTTGGATAAGTGATTTGAGATAAGAAATTCTCATTCTAATGGTTTGATTTATATGATTTAAGTTTTGAATAATATGAGCACTTTTGGTGGGAAATTATTGAGTTTGAAATTTGAAATTGTTGATTGATTAATATTGTATATGAAGTGGTAATGTGGAATAAGCATGAACAGGTATAAAATTTTTGAAAAAAAAATCCCCTTGGACCACCACCCTAGGTTCGGCCATATTGGGCATATATGGGTTTAGTGTGCAAAAATCAAATTGAATAATTAGTGGAGGTTTATATGTATGTGTAAGTTGAATTAAGTGTTAAATTAAGGATACAAGGATAAAAATCCCTTGGAAACCTTCCCTATGGATTTCAGCCATTAGGGTCTAATTAGGGATGATTGTGTAAAACATTATTTTGAATATGAGTTGAGGTTCCCATGCATGGAATTAATATGATGATGAAGTGCAATGGATTAAGGATTGATGAAAGACATCTTGGTTCCTTTGTATGTATGCCTTTGGCCTTGTGAACAACAATAGGCCTATGTGGTGCTTAAATTGATAAAGGGATGCCTAGATAACTTAGGAACCATTGGTTGAGTGAAATGAATAGATGAAGATTCTTAGCTATCCCTTGGTCTTGGATTCGGCCTTGCAGGGATTTTTGGGGCTAAGAAATGTTAAAAATTATAAAAGCTATTTTAGAAGCTTGAGTGGGTCATTCAAGGACCCTAGGTAAATATGAAATAAGGTGGTTGCTTGTGTTGCGAGTAATCATCCTTAAATGATCTAATAAGAGAGCTTAAAGATTGCGGTCTTGACTTGTGGATTGGCATAGGTGTGAAGAAATGAAAGTAAATAATAAAGTACATGTCTTGTAATTACATGACATGTGGCATTTTATTGGGTTTTGTTTTGGATTCTTTCTTTATGTGTGCCTAGGGACTGTGAGCATTTGGATTCCCTTGGAGCAAGATAAGTAGCTTGTTCTTCAAGGAAGCAGATTGTAAAGCTTCAAGATGTAAGCTCTATGTTTAAGGAGTCTTTTCCTACTTGAGTGCTCCACCATGGTTAGTGGACTATGGTTGGAATGTATGATTGTATTTGATGCTTTCTATAGATGCATTCATATAGAGTTATATGATAATATAATATGTTTTGTTCTGATGTGATTTCTGTAATGATCTTTGACCATTGATTTTATGTGAACTAATGTCTGCTTGGGGTCCTCCCTTGGAATCACGTGCGTTGATTTTGCTTGGAGTCCTCCCTTGGGAATAACTGCATACACCTCTGATAAAATATGTATATATGTTTTGTTTTGTTATGATATTTGTTATATGATGTCTTGTATACTCTGTATTTGACTTTCATGCAGGAGTGGGCCCAGGGTATGGAGAATTCTCTATAAATATGGAGCTTATTAAGATTTTTTATCTCACCCCGTTTGGAGACATCATTTCAGGTGTACAGATTGTCGGTGAGCCTACACGGGGCAGAGATACGACCCGTGGATAGAGTGCATCGCGGATCGGATTTTGGGTAGCATTATGCTACTATTATTTTTGGAGGATTGTTATTTTGCATTAGTATTCCATTCGTTTTGAGGATCATGATGTCTGATCTGTTACTTTGTATATGGTCTGTATATGTTTTGTACATATTTTTTGCTTTGATGCATGTACAATTGTGTATTTAGGCATGTCTATATTATGATTTAGTATTCAGCTATATATCTACATGTTGGCTATGCATGCTGTTAGACATGGTGGCACATAGCCAAGTTATATATGAGCCCATGGATGGGTATGTGACTAGTG